AATTTTTAGGAGAAGAAAACAGATTAATTTTTCCCTGTTTTCTTCTCCTAAAAATTTGGTACATCTTGAGGAAGATGGTTTACCACTGAAAATTAGCTGGCAATTTGTACAGTATTTAGTGGTCTAATAAAGGTATCATTTGCCCTTACATCTATAAATAGTGGAATAGAGGAGAATGTGGGTGGAGGGAAAGCATGAAAAGGAGAAAGATGTTTGAATGGATCTTGAAGAAGGAAAGGGATGACAGGAGATGCCACACATACCTGCTGCTTGTAAGGAAACTTGGGCCAAGAGAATGTGGCCTTCAGCTTTAAAAATGTTCCTCATCCTGATATACATGGACACATTTGGTGTTATATTTTGTCAAGTAGCATCTGACTTACAGTGATGCTGTAAGGGCTTTGAAGAAATAGGAGATATTCAAGAAGTGATTGTCTTGTGTATGTCTTAAACCAGTGGTCCCCAAACTTTTCTGAACCACGGACCAGTTGGGGAGGGCAGGGTGTGTGTGGAGGCATGGCACCCTCATGCTTGCGGATGGGCGAGGCACACTCGTGAATGTGTGGATGGGCGGGGCACTCTTGTGGGTGCACGGGGCACCCGTGTGGGTGAGTGGGCCGTGCGTGTGTGTGGGGTGTGGGGGGAATGTGGGGTGGTGGTGGGAGATCTGTCTCTGCGGCCCAGTCCTGCCATGGACTGGCACTGGGCTGCAGACTGGGGGTTGAGGACCCCTGTCTTAAATAATGAGTTTAAGAAACCCACTGGTTGACTTTTCCATTAGGACCACCAGGTTTTACATTCTATTTTTCCAGTTTTTTATGAAGAGATTGTGACTCCTCTTATAGTTTTGTAGTATTTCTAGATCTTCAGCTAAATGCATAAAATAGATTTTTATTTGCTTCAGTAAAAAGAGACAAAATCATATTGATTGTGGGGGGAGTTAATTGACTGTTTTCTAAGAATTCTTCACATGCCTAATTCAGGGTTTTCCTTGCTTCTTGCAAGTGAAGATTTTGAAATGCTTATGCAAGGGATCCTGCACCCGATCAGTAGTATAGAAAAATGCTAGGCAAGAAACATTCACATAATGAGGCTGGTTTTTGCATCAAAAATTCTGAAATCTAACTTACTACTACTACTTTCTTCTGTGTCTAGTTTGACAGAGCAGTGGTTCTTCAGCTCCAGATCTGCAGAGGTACCAAAGAAGCATTGTGCTTGGATTGTTACAGAGAGTCTTAAGGAGCCATAGTATTGGCCTGTTTTAAATTAGATTTAAATACCATTGAAGTAGTGATATTGAACGTAAATTTTATCTGAAGCTACAGACAACCTCTGGAATTTAATGTAGTTACTGCTAAACTTATAGGCTAATTGACTGATTCTGTGTAAGGCAGCATTCTGTGTTTTAGTAGCTTGCCACTGGTGTTCATTGCCTATTCCATGTATCCATTATTTCTCATCATTCAATTTCAGCCACTGTTTTTCTTGAAACATGAGGAAGCACAGTGGCTTGAAGTTCCACCGGAGGCTTCTCCTGTTATAACCTAATCTGAGGTTTCATGTTCTGTTTCCTACTACCAGTACTTCACTTGTGCTATCATGTATATCTTATTGTAAATGTGCAAATCTGGGAGGCTCAAATAATGATATGGCTATTTAGAATAGGTATTATCACCATGCCTCTGGTTCCCTTAGGAATTTCTTGAAGAGTTGACCTATTTGTCTAAAATATTTCTGAAGTATTGTGGAGGGTAGACCTGTGTGGATATAGTCTTTTTATCTGAAGCTACAGACAACCTCTGGAATTTAATGTAGTTACTGCTAAACTTATAGGCTAATTGACTGATTCTGTGTAAGGCAGCATTCTGTGTTTTAGTAGCTTGCCACTGGTGTTCATTGCCTATTCCATGTATCCATTATTTCTCATCATTCAATTTCAGCCACTGTTTTTCTTGAAACATGAGGAAGCACAGTGGCTTGAAGTTCCACCGGAGGCTTCTCCTGTTATAACCTAATCTGAGGTTTCATGTTCTGTTTCCGACTACCAGTACTTCACTTGTGCTATCATGTATATCTTATTGTAAATGTGCAAATCTGGGAGGCTCAAATAATGATATGGCTATTTAGAATAGGTATTATCACCATGCCTCTGGTTCCCTTAGGAATTTCTTGAAGAGTTGACCTATTTGTCTAAAATATTTCTGAAGTATTGTGGAGGGTACACCTGTGTGGATATAGTCTTGATAGAATGTGCATTTGAGGGGTGTGTATTTTGTCCTCAAGACTTATTATAGCTCTGACCAGTTGGTTAATTCTATCCTTATTTGGATTAGTAGTGGTGGGGGAAAAGAGGTTTTTTTTGGTTCCACTTTAGTACACTCAGTTAAAGGTAGTGAGATTAATAAAGATTAAATTCAGAATATGAATTCTTCATTTGGGATCTATGTCCACCATCCATCTGTATGTCCTCTTTTCCAGTTATGATGAATTACATGGCATGCAGTGAGAATGCTGAAAATTGTCTGCTTGTTGACATATGTTTTTGGAGGAGTGGTGTTGTTTTGCAGTTGTCTTTTAGCTCATGTCCAAATTGGACAGGTCTCTGTTTTCAGGATTGCTTCAGATCATTTGGATGGAACCAAACATACTGTCTTTAAATTTGCTCTTTAAAACTAGTGTGTATTAGTGCATGTGTGGTTCTTTTCTTGTCTGGATTCTGCCTCCTTCCCTATGCTGTCAGCCATTGTATATGTAGCTCCAGGCTCCCTCTTCCCCACCATTGATCTGCAAACCCTGAATGTGAGGGCAAAGCAAAGTCAGCATTCTGCCCTGAGGTGGAGATGACTGTATAACATCTACCAGTGAAGAGAAGAGTGTTTTTGAAGGATCTGTAGTTGTTTGCATACCTGCTGCCTTTACTTCCCCTGGTGAAATGTGGCCTGTAGATGAAGAATTGGGTTGTCCTTCCCTGTGCTGGGAGTCTTCTTCTGTGTAGTTCTAGGTTCCCTATTCCCCACCCTTGGCCTGTAACATTTGTGTGTGGGAGAAGGGTATAAGGACGGAGGTCTTGTAGAGTGGGGCTGCTGCTGCTGGGTTTGCTGCCAAAGGTACTGAACTTGTCCATGTAGGTGCATGTACCTGTTTTGGGATTTCGATTTAGAGAAACATCAAGGTGAGGGCTAGATACGCTACTGAAGAAAGGGGAATAGGGAGGAACCCAAGCTTATTTTCCCATTTGCCTGTGTTTGTTACTGTTGTGGAGGTCATTGTTTGCAGGCAGGGGGATATGCTTCCAAAAGAGGGAGGGTTGTCAAGAGGACAGAGAGTAGTCATTGTGACTACAGAAAGGAGATGAGATATTTAATAGGAGAACAACTTTGTTTTTATGGGGCAGAGGTGAGGAGTAGGCTGATGATTGTCTTGAAATTGCCTTCTAGTTCAGATAACCTAGGTGGCAGATTCCTGGATTGAAGATGTAGGTAGGTGCTGTTAAATGCTATACAGTGGGGTCTTGACTTAAGAACGGCTTGATTTAAGAACATTTTGACTTAAGAACCACTCTCATAGGAAAATATTGACTTGACTTACATACTTAGATTTGAGTTAAGAACTGAAAAAAAAACCACGTGGGAGGCAGGGAAAGTGCAAAATTAGAACTTTCAGTTAACTGTTGGCCAGTGAAAAGGGTGCCTGTCTGCTTCTTCACTCCTCCCAGCGTTTAGAGAGTGGATTGGGAGTCTTCAGACTGCCTGGTACTGCCTGGACTATATTTTCCCTGCCTTCCCTGAACCTTTCTTGACCTAAGAAAAAAAGAAACAAAATATCCCCCTCTAGTGGTCGAAGGCAGTATAGCAACTTCCCATTAGTTTCTATGGACGGAAAAGAGCAGATACGGATCAAATGGTTTTCAATGCATTCCTATGGGAAATGCAGATTTGACCTGAGAACTTTTTGACTTGAGAACCGCCTTCCAATATGGATTAAGTTCTCAAGTCAAGACCCCACTGTATTGGTGAAGGGTGAGATCACAATCATTCAGAATCTGATCATGGATGAATACACTGGTTTGGCTTGTGTTTTAGAAACCAGGCCTGATTAAGCTGGAGTGTGGGTGTGTCAGTCTCTTTTAGTTTTGCCTGTGTTGGTTCTCTATACAGCACCAAGCAAGACCTGGAGTGGACGTAGAACAGAGTTGCAGTAATGTGTTGAGATTCTATCCCCCTCACTAGGTGCCGTGTTCTGCCGTCTATTGGGTTTGAGTATGTGCACTTGAAAGTGGGTGCTTGAGACAGAATAGGGATTATCTTAGTGTATTGTCATCCTGCTACATGGCAGCCTCTTTACCTATAGTGGTTTCAGTGCTGGTGTTGGAGTCCTCTTAGTTTGTCCCGCTGGACAACTTCAACATCTATGCTGAGGCCACCTTATTGGGAATTGTGATACTATTTAAAGAGGGAACATAGTTTTGCAGTTTTAGTAAAATCCAAAGCTTTTGTTTATCTTGGGTGGGAGTGAACCCCATTCTTCAATCTCCTTTCTCAACATTTATTTAATTACTGATGTAAGGATCAGGTTGGCTTCATTTCTACTAATGGCAGCTCTTTAATTGATTATTGAGTGCTCTGTAACCATTCCTCAATCATTAGAAGGCATTTAACTTTGTAGTATTTGCTAGCATTGTTACTTATGGGTGCCATTGCTGGTTCCTATTGGTCAACACAACTTTTTGGTAAATATATAATGATCAACTTATTTAGACATGTGTGATCAAGCTTACAGAGTGTCCCAGTTTTCAGAGAAGATGGAAATGACAAACATATTGTGAGTAGATAAGCTATGTGCATAATTTTTCCACACCTCTTTGACCCCATTTGACAGATTGTTTCTTTTGGGTTGTTAAACTTGTAGCGTGTATCTTGCCTATCTTTAATATACCAGCATTTCATTCTGAATTTACTATAAAGAGCCTAGTATTCTGATTTTTGTGGTGTTCTTCATAGTCCAGGTTTCAGCTGTGGACATCTACACGCCAGGAGAACTCTCTGTGGAGAATGGGACAGAGGCAAAGCTTCCATGTACTTTTGCATCATCAGAAGTGATCAGCAGTGCAGCTTCCGTCACCTGGAGCTTTCAAGCAGAGGGATCGACTACATCTGTTTCGGTAAGAGGTTGTGATTGAAGAAACTTGTACAGTGGTGCCTCGCAGAACGGGCGCCTCGTAGAGCGATGAATTCGCTCTACGGGGCCGTTTTTGCGATTGCAAATGCGATCGCAAAACGGTGCCCGTATAGGCGGGAAATCGCAGAGCAAAGGTTGGTAAGCGCCTCGCTTACCGACCTTTGCTTTGCGACCCGACAATCAGCTGTTCCGCGGCTTCAAAATGGCCACTGGAACAGCCAAAAGGGGCCGGGGCGCAGCGTTTTCGCGCCCTGGGTAAGCAAGGGGAGGGCGCGAAAACGCTGCGCCCCGGCCCCTTTTGGCTGTTCCAGTGGCCATTTTGAAGCCGCGGAACAGCTGATTGTCGGGGCGCACAGCAAAGGTCGGTAAGCGAGGAGCTAACCACCCTTTGCTCTGCGATTTCCCGCCTATACGGGCACCGTTTTGCGATCGCATTTGCAATCGCAAAAACGGCCCCGTAGAGCGGATTCATCGCTCTACGAGGCGTCCGTTCTGCGAGGCACCACTGTATTTCTAGAAAAGCTTGTACAGTGGGGTCTCGACTTACGAACGTAATCCGTATTGGAAGGCGGTTTGTAGGTTGAAAAGTTCGTAGGTTGAATCTGCATTTCCCATAGGAATGCATTAAAAACCATTTAATCTGTATCTGCTCTTTTCCGTCCATAGAAACTAATGGGAAGCTGCTATTCTGCCTTCTGCCACTAGAGGGGGATATTTTCTTTTTTTCCTTAGGTCAAGAAAAGTTCAGGAAAGGAGGGGGGAGGCAGGGAACAGTTTTAAAAGCACTTTTGAAATCTTTTTTTCAACGAAGCCAATTCTAAAGCAGCTTTAAAGCATGTTGTGCTGATTTTTTCAGCACAAAGACACACAGGCAGGCTTTTTAGGTGCTGAGCAAGCCTCCCCAAGCCTCTTCAGAGCCAGTCGATCAGCTGTTAGGCGGGGAGAGGAGGGGGCAGGAGCAGAGAAAAGCACAAAATGGCTGACAGGCTCCCTTCTGGGTGTCGGCTTTTATCTGTTTGCTGCGCTTTTTCCTGCAGTTCAGGGGCTACTAAGGCCTGGTAAGTGACTTTCTTTTATTTACTTTTAAGTTTCTGACCTTTTTTCCCCCTCCAGAAGCCTCTAAGGGGAGGGAGGGGGCCCTTTTTTTCCTGTTCGCAACTCGAGGGAAGTTCTTATGTTGAGTATGTAATTTCCTATTGGGCGGGTTCGTAAGTCGGAAAGTTCATATGTAGAATCGTTCGTAAGTCGAGACCCCACTGTACCTTAGGAGGTTATATATTTCCTAGTATTTTCCCCCTGTCTTTTCTGCTCATTTTCACTGCAGATAAAAGTATATGTTTGGATTGCTGTCTTGGTATAATATCTCATTATTGATCATGTTCTGTTTATTCTCATAGATAGTCCTTCTTTTTATGCTACAAAACGGTTTGCTGGCAAAAGTATTGCTTGGGAGAAGGCTTGTTTGAAGCTGAGGGCAAAATGAGAACAAAATGTTTGCAATGGTAGTAGATTTCGAAGAGCAGCTGTGTTACTGTGTTTCAGCATGTGGAAGAAAAATGGAGTGGGGAGAGCAAAATATTTTGGTCTTTGAAAAACTAACGAATTTGATTGGTGTTTGAGGTCAATCCATTTCTTCAGACAAAAGAAGAAGGTGGTGATGGCTATAGATCCTAAAGAAAAAACTAAAAGCAACAGCAAGCTGGACTCAGTGGGGGAGTGTTACATCTCACCCTGGCTGCTCACAGATCCTTCAAGATCTCACTTTTGTGTTACTTGGTTCTCAGTGCTTCTTGTTCTTTTCAAGGGGCTAGAAATCTGTTCTTTCTGTTTCTAATGAAGATTGGTATCCTTGAGCATCATCTGATAAAGCAGTGGTTCTTAACGTGGGCGATAATGCCCCTCAGGGGGCGATTTCATTTTTCAGGGGGGCAGATTGTCTATGTCTTGTTGTTAAAGGCACAGAGTCCCTGAAAGGAAAAGGAAGCCACATGAATGTTTCTCATTTAAACAGCAGGGCAGTAAGAACGATTAACTTCTTGTAAAATACAGTTTGGCCTGTTAAACAAGTCTTAATAGCCTGTAGTAAAATTCAGTGAGTGAAATATATAAACAGTTTGTACTGTCTTTGAGTGGCCGACCAGACCAGATGGGTGGGATATATATATATATATATATATATAAATAAATAAATAAATAAATAAATAAATAAATAAATAAATAAATAAATAAATAAGAAACAACGAAAGAAAGAAAGAAAGAAAGAAAGAAAGAACGAAAATAAGAAAGATATCATCACCGTGGGGAGGGGGGCGATGATAACTTCCTCAATGGCTTAAGGGGCGTTTCTTTCAAAAAGGTTAAGAACCACTGTGATAAAGCACCAGTATTTCAATTTAATATGTAGTGTATTGAAGAAATTCAGCAGATGTGATAAATGTAGTAGGAGATAAATAACTTTTTAATGTATTATAATATTTTGTATTTTTTTTATAACAGTTCTTCTATTATTCCAATGGGAAAGCATATCCTGGAAAGAGTACACAATTTAAGGACAGAAGCAGCTGGGCTGGAGATCTTAACAAGAAAGATGCATCTATAAGTATAGCAAACATGCAGTTTCAGGACAATGGAACTTATATCTGTGATGTTAAGAATCCTCCAGACATAGAAGGGACTCGGGGAGAAATCAAAGTCAGAGTTGTGGAGAAAGGTATAGTAGGCCCTGGTAAGAACATGCTGCTATGAATGGTTGAGTGAATGCTTTTATTATGTGATGAATTATTTCACCAGAATTTCTCAACTACATTTAAGAGTTCTATTTCTGTTGTTTTTGCATAAAGTTTGCTATGTTTATTCAAATTATTTTGTCCTGGAAATAACAACATCTCCTTAAAGAGCAATGGGAACAAATGTTAAAAGACATTCACAGTTAAAAACATTGGTCTGGTTTTCACAATCAAGTTTAGCCAGAAGAGTTACACTTGGAAACTATGATATTGATGCTGGCTTTGAGGAAGGCTTCTGCATGAAATTATCAGGGCCCATCACTTGATGTCAGTCTTGTACACAAAGAAAGTATTCCTCTATAGTTACTTATCAGTGAAATGAGAAAGTAAGAAAAGAAAATAATATGGAATTACTGCAGTATTTAGAAGAAGAGATATCCTGAATGTAATTGTCCACCTTAAACTCAATGAATCTCTGGGTCAAAATGACATGGTGGAGTTTTTTGTAAGAAACTTATACCCTATACACTTCCCCATTGGGTAACTAGTTCACAAAATTCTGTAATATAAAGATGTTTCACAATCCTGAAGATACCCCAACTTCAAAAATGTAGACAAAATACAGAAGTGTGGGTTTATATAGACCAATAGAGTTAATTATTCAAGATACAGAAATCTTCACTGCAATCCTTACTAGAAACCTCACACTGGCCCCTGATTACACTGATGAAGATAGGCTCCAAAACATTTGAATAAATGTTGATCAATCAGACAACATCTAAACATAATTGATGTTGCCACAAAACACAATACCAAAACAGCTAATGTTATTGTTGTTATTTTCTAGGCATTTGAGAAATGAGAATGGATTTTTTAAAAAAAATTATTTAAAAAAACAATTTTGGAAATAACTTTTTACAAATTATTGATGGATTAATCAAAACTCTGATACCCAAGGAATCTCTAGGTGGCAGTGGTGAATTGGGATTTTTTAAAAAATTGTAATTTGCATGTTTCCCAATTAGAGATGGGGTATTCGTATTTGTGTGGCCTATTGTTGTTTGCACCACACTAATCGTGAAAGTAGCTCAGCCAGGGCCTCCCTGCACTGCTGACCAATCTGTTGAGAAGGTGGGATGATGAGGCTTAGTGCTCAGCTTCTGAGTGGTCTGCAGCGCATGGAAGTGTGGTGTGAATGATGACGGGCTGTGCGCAGCACTGCAAGCAGTAAGTGGACAGACTGGTTTGGGGGGGCGTGTCCAACCCAGCTACCTGTGGTGGTGGTACTAGTATTCATCTCCCCTGGGAGACAAATACGGATATTCCATCTCTATTCTTGATTGTGTCAGTCTGTTAAAGTTATTTGCCAGAAATAACAAAATAATTTTTCAGATTAGATTAGATTAGATTAGGAATCCTTCAGTCTCAAGAGACTATGGTAACATGCCCTGTATGGAGGACTTGGAACAGCATCTAGTGTGGCTGAGAAGGCCAATTCGAGAGTGACAGTCCCTTCCACACTGAAGACAAATATAATCTGTACCCCGTCCAGCTCCCTGATTTTGTTGTTTTTGTGACTGCCTGTTTGCCTCGGCCTGCTGTACAAGTGTCTCTTCAAATTGGGAGAGGCCATGATGCACCACCTGCCTCCAGGCTGAACACTCAGATGTCAGGGTTTCCCATCTGTTGAGGTCCATTCCTAAGGCCTTCAGATCCCGCTTGCAGATATTCTTGTAGCGCAGCTGTGATCTCCCTCTGGGGCGATTTCCCTGCACTAATTCTCCATACAGGAGTTCTTTTGGAATCAGACCATTAGCCATTCTCACAACATGCTCGAAGACCTCGCTGTTTCAGTAAGGTATACATGTTAAAAATTCCAGCTCGATCTAGGACTACTCTATTTGGAACTTTGTCCTGCCAGGTATTACCAAAAATGCGTCAGAAACAACGCATATGGAAAATGTCCAGCTTTCTCTAATTCTCCATACAGGAGTTCTTTTGGAATCAGACCATTAGCCATTCTCACAACATGCTCGAAGACCTCGCTGTTTCAGTAAGGTATACATGTTAAAAATTCCAGCTCGATCTAGGACTACTCTATTTGGAACTTTGTCCTGCCAGGTATTACCAAAAATGCGTCAGAAACAACGCATATGGAAAATGTCCAGCTTTCTCTACTGCTGTACACAAAGGGTCCAGGACTCACTGCAACACAAGAGTGTGCTCAGGACACAGGCTCTATAGACCTGGATCTTGGTGTATGCTGTCAGCTTCTTATTGAGCCATACTCTCTTTGTGAGTCTAGAGCAGGGGTCAGGGAACTTTTTTACCTTCTCTCCCCCCCCCCCATTTATATACACTGGCATTATCCCCTTGATTCAAAAGGAAGGAAATCATACAATATTTGAATTAAAAATATTATTGAATCTACATGGGCTGTGTACCGAACTAGCAGGATGCACCAAATTTAATAAAGATGTGCACTATTTTTGCTGGAGCACATTACACTTCAGCCATGGTGTGGCATAAGCAGTAGTAAGGTGTCCAATGTGCCTAGCAAGTTGCATTAAATTTTTGCTAGCTCACAGAGGATTTAATCATCATCAGTGGCTGCCAGAGTGGTGCTAGCAATGACATGCTTGCTAGAGACAGCCAACGCAGAATTGGGGGGGGGGGCTTTCCCTACCACTTTAATCATTCTGTGTGTGGTGTGCAAAAAGGAACAAACCAGGCTAAAGGTCATGTCACACACCCTGGTGCCATAGCCCAATATCAAAGGACCAGTGTGCTTTTTTTATCATCATCAATGGAAAACTCAGCAGTGGCCAGAGGATTGGAAAAGATCAGTCTACATCCCAATCCCAAACAAGGGAAGTGCCAAAGAATGCTCCAACTAATGTACAATTGCACTAATTTCACACGCTAGCAAGGTTATGCTCAAAATCCTACAAGGTAGGCTTCAGCAGTATGTGGACCAAGAACTCCCAGAAGTAGAAGCTTGATTTTGAAGGGGCAGAAGAACTAGAGACCAAATTGTTAACATGTGCTGGATTATGGAAAAAGCCAGAGAGTTCCATAAAAACATTTACTTCTGCTTCATTGACTATGCAAAAGCATGGCAGAAAGTGAGGAAAACTTAAGGAACCTCCTAATGAGGATGAAAGAGGACTGCACAAAAAATGGTCTGGAGCTCAACGTCAAAACAACTAAGATCATGGCCACTGGTCCCATCACCTCCTGGCAATAAAAGGGGAAGATATGGAGGCAGTGACAGATTTTACTTTCTTGGGCTCCATGATCATTGCAAAGGGCCACGAAATTCAAAGACGCCTGCTTCTTGGAAGGAAAGCAATGATAAACCTAGACAGCACCTTAAAAAGCCACCCTTTCCCCCACCTTAATTTAAGCTTTCTCTTTTGCTTGCCTCTTCTTTTTCATAGTTTTGAGTCAGTCTCTCTCACTTCCTCTCCCTCTCACACACATACACATCCACCCACCCACCCTCCCTTTTCTTCATACATTCTCTCCATACATTTAAATAAGCTTGATGAAGCCGTCTGTCTCTTGCACCTTCCTTCCCTCCTTCCCTTGTTAACATCCTTTCCCACCTCCTGCTTGCTTGCAGTCATTTACGGAGGAATCAGTTATTCAGAAGCCCTGGATTGATTGATTGCCCGGGCTAATCCACAGCTGTAATCAATCAAGCAGGCTTATCTCCGATCTCTCTGAAAGAACAGGATTTAGAAGTGCCCTGCTGCAACCAAGAAAGTAACAGGGAGAGGTGGCTTACAATTTGAGGTTTAACTGCAAGGGGAGGGGGTGAGAGGGAGGGAGTAGCATTCTGTTAATTACCCCCAGGATCTTAACTTTTACCCAGTTTGGTAATTTACCCCTATTCCCCGACCACTGGTCTAGAGAACATGGTAGCTGCTTTGCCAATGCGTTTATCCACTTCAATATCTAGGGAGAGAGTGTCAGATCACTGAGCCAAGGTACACACATTCATGAACAACCTCAAATTCTTGTGTGGAGATGGTAATAGAGGGAGGTGAGTCCACACCCTGGCCCATGACTTGTGTTTTCTTCAGGCTGATTGTTAGTCCAAAGTCTTGGCAGGGCTTGCTAAAATGAGTTGTTGGAGGTCTTCAGCATAGTGGGCAACAGTGGCTGTATCATCAATGAAGAGGAAGCCCCACATACATTTCAGTTGGACTTTGGTCTTTGCTCTCAATCTAGAGAGATTAAAGAGCTTTCCATCTGATCTAGTCTGGAAATAGACACCTTCTGTTGCAGTTCCAAAGGTGTGCTTCAGCATGACACCAAAAAAGATCCCAAACAGGGTTGGCGCGAGGACACAGCCCTGTTTCACTCCGCTTTGGATGTCAAAGGGATCTGATGTTGAGCCATCAAAAAGTTCAGTGGTCTTCATTCCCTCATGAAAGGACCTGATGATGTTAAGGAGTCAAGGTGGACATCCAATCTTGGGAAGGATTTTAAAAAGGCCATCCCTGCTAACCAAATCAAAGGCCTTTGTGAGATCTATGAAGGCCACAAAGAGTGGCTGTTGTTGTTCTCTACATTTTTCCTGCAACTGTCTGAGGGAGAATACCATGTCAGTGGTGGATCTATTAGCTCGAAATCCACACTGTGATTCTGGATAGACTCTGTCTGCAAGCACCTGGAGTCTCTTCAGTGCAACACGGGCAAGCCGCTTCCCCACAATGCTGAGAAGAGAGATGTCACGGTAATTATTGCAGTCACCCCTGTTTCCTTTGTTCTTATGCAATGTGGCGATGTTTGCATCCTTTATGTCCTGTGGTAATCCCCCTTCCCTCCAGCAAATATGAAACACTTCATACAGTTAGGTGGTGATGATCTCTTTACAGCACTTCAGCACTTCAACAGGGATGTTATCCATTCCAGGCGTCTTGCTAGAGAAGAGGGATTCCAAGGCTGCTTTTATTTCTATTAAAGATGGTTCGCTGTCCAACTCTTCCAAGACAGGCGGGCACTCAATGTTATTTAATGCTTCAGTGCAAATAGTACAGATTCAAACCTAATTAGCATTGGTTATGATACAAAGCTGGGATGTCTGTGATCTCTCCTTTTATTGTCTTTTTCAATGAATTACTGGTGTAAGGCTTTGTGGTGTTTGCCCTTGTGGCCCCTGCTTGTCTTTACCTCTACCTATTTTCCTAACCAGCTCTATCTCTCTCAGTATCTGTTCCCTCGCTCTCTCTGACTAACCAGCCCTATCTGACTCCTCCTTCTCCCGCCAAGCCTCATGTAGCTGCTGACTCCACCTCTCCAGTCCTCTCATAGGTTCATTCAAATCAATTCATGAATATGAATGGTATGAGTGATGTGGGTGATCGTCACAGGCTTCTGGAAGAATATAGATACTAAAATTAATAGCAGATAACACAAAATTAGTTTGTTTGCAGATGTTTTAGCAGCTGTTTATAAATACTGTAGAATGTAAAGAATCATTACATGTAGCATGAAATGAGGTTGAAGAGTATGAATGTCGTTACAGTGGACCCTTGACTTACAGACGGCTTGACTTACAGACTTTTTGAGTTACAGACTTCTCTGGCCGCAAAATTTAGATTTGACTTGCAGACTGAGATTTGACTTACAGACCAGAAAAAAACCAAAATGGAACAAAAACGGCCTGTTACGGGATTAATTGGTTTTCAATGCACTGTAGGTCCATGGAGACTTGACTTACAGACGTTTTGACTTGAGAACCGCCTTCCAATACAGATTAAGTTCTCAAGTCAAGCCCCCACTGTATATCACTGGTTGTCAAATTTTTTAACATCTTGCACCTCCCTTTGACTTCTGAGAAACCTCCACTTCCCTACTTATTCTTTACTATTAGTTTTATCGCCGTGGGTTTTAAATCCATAATTTAATATTACAAATAAGGAGTATAGCAGAAAATTATTTTAAATTAAGAGTAAGTACAAATAGTTCTTGTCACAAAAATAATGAACATATATACCCATTATATTTGTTGCTATGCAAATAAAATCAATGTACTCAACTAGCAATTTATCACAAATCTTTATTTACTCTTTCTAGCCTATAGATAAGTGTTCTGTTCCATATTCCTCACTAGCCTGTACACAAAAACTACTAAAAGCAACAATAATCCCACCATATTGCAAAACTTTTTCAGTTCTTCAGAAGTATTTTTCAGGTTTGGGTGACAAAATAAAACAAAGGGGCTGAAATCCTGTTGAGTAGCTATGAGGGCAGAACTCAACATTAAGGCTGCAGTAGCTACAATAGCACCATGGCAGAAAGTGCTATCCAGAAGCACTTTTTGCCAGCACGTTGCACTGTTAGTTGCAGTGGGAAGCATTTAACCAATTGTGCAATTGAATTGCAAAATCTCTGTTGCCTGGGTGTAGTGCCAAGTAAAGTTATGCCTGTGTAACTTTACATTGGGTAGTAATGATCTGGATTCTGACCTGTATTATGGAAGTGTAGTTTGTCCTGAAAGTCTTGCCACTCTGAGGGATTTGCACTTTGTTTAATTCTAGTTACTTCATATTTTTGTTGTTAGGACTAAGATGGCTCAAAAGAGGAAACAAACTTCCAAATTCTTTAGAATACTTTGTAATAGAAGAGACGGGAGATCTTTAGGTGTTCCCCAAAGGGGAAATAAATGCAACTAAGAAACAATAAATGTTGGCATTTAAAGATTAAATGGGCAAACTTTAATTGTCCTTGCTGAGAGAAGTAGTTGCCATAAAAACAAACATTTTTGCCAAAGTTGTTATATTTCTTCTATGATCTGCTTATTTATATCCCAGACAAGACCTTAAGAAACTAGCAACAGATCATAAATTTTTTTATTCATGACAGTAAATGACAAGATTAAACAAAAAATGTGTACCCCAGTTGGTGGAGATGTAAAAATCTAGAATGTTGCTCTACATTATGAACCATTCCTACAAATAATCATCGTTATACACGACACCTGGGAAAAAGTTAACAAACCATGGAACAGGATGCTAAAATATACATTCAGTGTTTTGTAATTTGTAAACCAGATATTTTAAAAAAGATGGAAACCCCATTATTATGTCTCACCATAAAAATTTATGAAAAATTGTATATTGACTTGTTCTTCTTGTACTTCCAATTCATCTTTTGTAATATGTGTTATTCTACTGCCCTGGAAAAATAATAAGTATAAAAACTGAAACTATTTAGGGGTCTGCCACAAAACAGGTGCTCAGATTAAAATCCATCTACAAAAACTCAGTATTGTCCACCAGATTCTTCGTTCTAGCAGAAATCAGGAAGTAATGCAGTTTGAAGAGATATTTAAGCCAATTACAGCCAATATAAAAATTTGTAGTCACTTTAATATAGAAGCTTTTAATATCAGAATTTATAGGCACAACAAAGTTAAAAGGGATAGGAAAAATACCTAAATGAAACCAGAAGTAAAAAACCTGGCACTTTTTAGGGACTTAAAAATAATTTCAATTCTTTTCAGACAGAATGAAAAAGAATGCCATAAATAAGTTAACTATTGGTATTTTTATAAGCAACAGTAAGCCATATGTATGGCACAACCTTACCAAAATATTAGAGGGGAGTTAATAACACACACATACTCTGTTGAAACTGTAGTGTTGTCAACACAGTGTGAAACTAAATTATTTCAGGAATGTACTAATCATAAATCAACATGTTTGTACAATAATTGTACAATAGCACTGCTGTTTGTATTTGATTAAAATGCAAGCTTGCCTTGTGAAGAAATATTGACATTTGTGATGGTAGCAGCCAGCCGAGTCATAACAAAAATATTCAAAGAAAAATATAACTGTTTCATTGAGTCTTTGGTATTATTATCTGTGGACAACAGAACTAATTGAAAAATTTATTAAAATTCAAAGTTTTGTGGTTGCACAATAAATGTGTAGATTACTTCATTAAACAATACAGTAGTACAGTACACCTTCATCACCTGCAATAAGGAATAATAGCACCACTACCCTGTTTTCCCGAAAATAGACAGGGTCTTATATTCATTTTTGCTCCAAAAACGCATTAAGGCTTTTTTTCAGGGAATGTTTTGTTTTTGTCATGTACAACCATCTACGGTTACTCAAATGCAGTCATGTCATCTTCTGGTTGCTGCACAATGGTGGAGGGTGGGATTTCACTTAACTAGGGCTTATTTTTGGAGTAGGACTTAATAGGTATTATTTCTCTCTGTCTCTCTCTCTCTCCCCCGTGTGTGTGTGTGTGTGTGTGTGTGTGTGTGTGTACACACGTACAACATGCTCATATGCTGCCCCAGGCATTAGTCTGTCCTGTTTTTATCAGTCTCTTGTTTTGTGAGCTTACCTACCACATGCTTATATATGTGCATATATTTATATATTTTTGATAGAGACGCCCATAATTTAATGTAATCTCTATTCCCTATGTAACATCCTGCTATCTGATAAATTGTTTCTCTGATGTTGAGCCAGCTGTCAAATAGTATAACTGTGCATGCAAAACATGGCATGTGCTTCACAAAAATACTGAAAATGGGCTCAGTTGTTTCATAATTAACGTTCTGAATATTTTGAAGGGCATGCCTTGTGTTGTGTGTGTTCGTGTCCTTCATGCTTTACAAGAGGCTTTTGTATTTTATACTGTAATGTAAATACAGAGAACAGAATGTTTACGCAAGAAGTGGTATCCAGTGGGTAGCTGTAGGCACGTCCATCTACTTTTCATAATTTTCTCATGGGTTGCTAACAGGTTAATTCTACTTTTGTATGTTGAAAAATGGCACTGAAACTTAATAATAAAAGAGGAATATATATCTGCAGAACAGGCTAATTGGTGTTACTTTGGTTTTGATATGTAAAGACTGCAATGAACATACAGTTAATGCTGGTGTATCCTTAATTTATGCATTTAAAGTTGAAGAAAAATGTTCTGATCATTTGAAAAAAATGAACTAAATGATACAAAAATGTGTGTTTTTTATCTCTCTCTACAGGTAACTTGCGTGTATTTCCCACTGCCCTTGTGGCAGGAAGCATTGGTGGAGTTTTGGGTTTCATTTTGCTCATTGCTCTTACTGTGTGTGCTGTGTATAGAAAGAAGAATTCTAAAAAGCATTACTCTGGGTAAGATTCCCCCTAATTTATTGTTTAGATTTTTTAAAAGGCCAGAATAAATGAACCTGGAAGAGGAATTGTTAATTTTTTATTTTCCTTATACTACTAAATTGACTGAAACTGCTGAGAAGTTAACTTCTCTAGACCAAAAAATGATAATTTCTTTGTGCACATACTTTCCCCATTTGTAAAGGTTCTAATAGATCTTTGTACATATTGGGTGGGAAGAGTATAACACAAAGCTGTCTAGAAAGGCAGTCTTTCTCTTTCACTCTTTTCTAAAAGTAAGGAGAAGAAAGACCGGGCACATTTGATATCTGGTGTTACTTTCTTTTTGAGTTTGGGGAATGGCTGCCAACTTCTTTACAACAGTCTGCTTGCCAGAGGTTTCCAACTACAGCTTTGGGAAGACGGGTCCTCTGCTATCTTCACTGGCTTCACCATTTGCATGAATTCCCTTTTTGTTCTTGCACTCAGGCTAACTTAATTTTGCTTTGTTTTGAAGAGCTCTTATTGGAAATTGTTATCTAGTTAGCACATATAGTTTTTGATCCAGGGCTTTTTGAATGTCATGAAAAATGTTGGGTGTGTATGTGTCCTTTTGTGAAGTGATGGTGGATCTTTTAAGTCCACTTGATGGCACATTATTATTATCACTTAGCTCTAACAGAAATACAGCTGTGTGCTCACATCCATACAGTATATACAAGCCTGAATGGCCAGTGCACACATACACAAAATGTCCCTTCTCTGAGGGTTAGCTATTTCACTGCCCAACTCTTTCCTGCTACATTTAGATCCAATGAATTATATCAGTAAAGTCTTTAACTTGTCAAATTATTGATGGGTGTTTTAATTGGCAACTTCTTGTATTTTACCTTTATTTCAGCTGGTGATCTTAGTAGTTGCAATAGAGATCAGTGGTAAGACTGAATGTGTGCAGTGAAGTTGTGTAAGCTTGGACTGTAGTGTGGAAAGCTTATTTCCTTTATGCACGTGTCCTTTGTGTTAACAGCTAAATGACAGCTTACACTGATCTGCACCCAAATATCCCAAATCCTAATACTAGTAAATAATTTCTGTCCACTGAAACTGTTCAAGGATACTTTGAGAGTTTGATACAATATTACTTTTCACCTAATTTTTCTATTGCTATAATAGTCTTTCAGCAATATAAAAATTGATCATGACTCTATTAGTCATTCTCAGTTCACACCAGTTCCATGTTTCTGCTGGTTACTAAATGACAATGGGGAGGGTGTACGTGAGTGTGTGTTCTCCTTAATTACTGAGAGCAGCCAAAACAATGTTTGATCTGCTTCCTAAATGAAACTAACACTATTAGTATAATGGATTGATTTGGGGTGGGTGGGTGGGAATCCTTGCATGGCTGTATACAATTTCTGTTCTTACTCTGATGTTTTGGTTTTTTCCTTTCTGCTTTGGTGTACTGCGATCGGATCCTGCTCTTATCTTCCTCTACTTACAGAGATCCTGATATAGACGCAAGATTGGGAATGTAACAGGGCTGGGTCTCCTCTTCCAGTCCCACTATATATCATGGTAACTAATCACCTTGGTGATTGCTCTTTGGTACTTTGTTTATGTGAGTGTTCACATTTCTGCTTCCTTTGCTGATTACCCGCCTAACATGACTCCATCACTTGTGCTGGAATTCTGTTTTGTAGACTGTTGGTGAAGGGGCAGCACATCTCACATACTGCTTGAGTTTTGTTGTATCATTTCTCTGTTCATATCAACAATGCTTCTTATCCTCAGAATCACTGACCCATTTTGGCAACAGATTCATACTTGTAAATGAATGTGGAAATTCAGAATCTTTCCACTGTGAAGGGAGAAAACAAAGTAGTTTTCAGTATTTCAAAATTCTCTGTGCACAGATAGTTCAGTGTTACCTTTCTATTTAGTACAAAGCTGGAAAGAACTCCAGACTTTTTTCCTGGCCTCTTGGTGTGCGATCTTTTAGTCCCAGTAATAATAGAAGCCCACATATTGGTGCTTTCTCAGTGCTTTATTTCCTTGTGTACTGCTGCATATATCATTTGTCTACTTATTTTCAATGTTTAAATATTCTTGTTGGATAAGAGAAAATAATGGCTTGCAGGAAACTGCTTTTTGCTTCAAGTCTTCGTCACATTGTCATGATCCATGTGTGCTTGTCCATGCTATGTATGTGTTGTGTTGAGAGGAAAAGAATGTGTTGGGGCAGCCTTCCTCAACAAAATATCCAGAAGCTGTTTAGATCACAGCTCCGGTCATTACAGACCATTGACAGTATTGGTTGGTATTGACATGGGTTGTAATTCAAAACATTTTATGGGCATTATGTTGAGGATGGTAGATTTATGGAAAGGGGGTTAATTGAGTGAGGTTATTTTTTTATCATTGGATCAACTAAATGTTTAGTGGCTTGTTCAACAGGAAAAGCCACTCCCAAAGGGACTGTCAGGGTGGGTGAACTTGGAAAGGGAATTTAGCTTTCCCCTCTCCACTGTTTCCCCCCTCGTCAATCCATCCCATGTATTTTGGCACCTTCCTTGTTAGGGAAGAAACTTCTTTAGAAAAGAAATTATCAATCATGCAGTTGAAATTCAGCAGGAGAAGGAACTAGAAGGCATATTCGGCTGCCATGTGTCTGATACCAGCCATCCCTCCAGATGTAGACTTTTTACTCTTAAGTCTACATGTGCACATCGCCCTGACTACCCTTTTTGTAGTTGGCTTTCAAGTGTGTGTGCATGTACATTTTAGGAATTATGTAGGGAGTCAGTGTACTATTTAATTTAGATATCTGGTTCTTACTTTTTAAAAACCAGCAGACAGCTATTTCTGAGATGATTCCTGCTGTTTAAAGTAACAGTGAGAGAGTGCCTGTTCAAAGACATTGCTCAAGCCCTTTCCAATTGACTGGTCTCTTGAGTTTCTACAGAAACTTAGCTTTTACAATCAGCAGTTCAACTGATTGAAGTTGTTAATATTTTAAATATAAACCTTCCCAAGTCAAGACCTGTTTTTTGACTTTGGCTACCATGAAAACACAATACGTGTGTTCTTATTTCATTTAGCCAATGGTTTTATTTAGCCAATTCCGTGGGACAGTCCTTCATAATAGCTGTCCCACGGAATGTTTGTTGTAGGTTTTTCAGGCCTTCAGGAATACATTATCCCAAGGAAGTTTCCAATGCAAATTAAAATTAAATCAGTTTAAAATATAAAATACTTGAAATAGGAGTAAAAATTTCATTTGTGTGCTTAAAATGTAATATCCTTCCAATAATAAAGACACAAACATAAAAAATGTCCAAGAGAATAAGTGGATGTCTGGCAAACCGTTTTTAGGAAGGGAATTTGGTAGTGGTTGAAGTTGTGTTGTTGAGGGTCTGTTCTGGCTGGTGCAAAAAAAAATACATATATAGCCAGTAGACATTACTTTTCTGCCTAGGAAAGAAAGGAAGTAATCTTCAAGTATGTACAATGGTGCCCCGCATAGCGACTAATCGTCGCTATCCGGAAACATCGCTATACGGATGGAAAAACCCCATAGGAACGCATTAAACTTCGTTTAATGCATTCCTATGGGGCCCAAACTCACCGTTCAGCGAAGATCCTCCATAGCGCCGCCATTTTCACTGCCTCGGTAAGCGAGGGCAGCGCGAAAATGGTTGCGGCAGCCATTTTGGAACCGCCGATCAGCTGTGTGAAAATGGGGCCTTTGGGAGGACCAAAGCCCCCATTTTCACACAGCCGAAGCGCCTGTGGCGAAAATGCCGCGAAAAACACACACACACACCACAAACATAACCCCCCCAGTCCAAATCCACCCTCCAAAACCCACACAGAATTTTTTTTTAAAAAGGACTTAACAGTCCGAAGCCTCCCGG